AGCATCCCTTTGGCCAAATCCTCCCCATGAAAGACACCAGTCATTCCTGCCTTGCAGTAAATTACAAGATTCGTGAATGCCTATCATAGACTCAAAGACTCATAGAATCCTAGGGTTGGAAGAGACCTCTGGAGTCACTGAGTCCAGGCCCCTGCCCACAGCAGGACCAACCCCAACTAAATCATCCCAGCCAAGGCTTTGTCAAGCCTTGCCTTAAACACCAAAGTAGTAATTCAGTTTACTCTGGGAAGGCGAAGTATAAGACTGGGTCTACATTACAGACTCCCATAGGTAAATACACCATGCAGGAATGTGGAAAATCCACACCCACCACCAACCAACCTCCTGGTCTAAACAGCGCTATGGCAACAAAAGGGCTTCTTCCGTTGCCATAAAAGGGAGTTACTCACCTTGTGCAGTAACGACTGTTCTTCGAGATGTGTGTCCCCGTGGGTGCTCCACGACCCTCCCTACCTCCCCTCTGCTCGGAGTCGAAATTACTCGGGCGGAGACGAGGAACTGAAAGGGAGGGGGATGAGTCACACTCCTCAGGAGGCGGCAAGGGCTCGAGACGCCTCCTGGGCATGCGTGACTCAACAGGGGAAACTGCTATAGAAAGCTCCGATCTGAGGCTCAGGGCGACCCTTCACCTACAGTGGAGCACCCACGGGGACACACATCTCGAAGAACAGTCGTTACTGCACAAGGTGAGTAACTCCCTTTTATGGCAACGGAAGAAGCCCTTTTGTTGCCATAGCGCTGTTTAGACCAGGAGGTTGGTTGGTGGTGGGTGTGGATTTTCCACATTCCTGCATGGTGTATTTACCTATGGGAGTCTGTAATGTAGACCCAGTCTTATACTTCGCCTTCCCAGAGTAAACTGAATTACTACTTTGGTGTTTAAGGCAAGGCTTGACAAAGCCTTGGCTGGGATGATTTAGTTGGGGTTGGTCCTGCTGTGGGCAGGGGCCTGGACTCAGTGACTCCAGAGGTCTCTTCCAACCCTAGGATTCTATGAGTCTTTGAGTCTATGATAGGCATTCACGAATCTTGTAATTTACTGCAAGGCAGGAATGACTGGTGTCTTTCATGGGGAGGATTTGGCCAAAGGGATGCT